CCCCCCCCCCCCCCCCCGGGTCCACTAGCGTGGGGAAGAGAACAAATATGTCTATCCATAAGTTGACATGACAAGCACAAAAATAACTGTAAACAATTAGAAAGATCTTTTCCCTTTTCCATTTGCAGGTATTTAAACTCTTGTAAAGGGATGCTTTAACCCACAAATTTAATCCCAAAATGTATAAGAAGATCTATCAGGTTGTGATTAAAATAAAAATATCCATTTCAGGGCAAAGTATACCATATTTTGGTGTTATGCAACGTGTGATCCTGAAACAAAAAATGCTTATTCAGCTTCTATAACCCATGTTTACATTCCAAAACACGTGCAGACCAAATTGCAGAAAACGTGGCACTTCACATTTAGGACTTCAAAAGTGAAAATCCAAAATCACGTCAGCTAGAGGAACCTCTAGTCAGATTCATATTATTTCCATTGTTTTACACATCAATATTTTTTCCTTTTAAAAATTTTGTTTTTGTTTGTTCGCTAAAGAACTAGAATCTAATCTTTAAATATTGTGAAGTTACCTTCATCCCGCCCATGGCTGAGCCAATCAGGACTCCACATCTAGTTTTATCTAATTCATTCATCACTTCCTCTGTAATTCCACTATTGGCCAAGGCCTTCTTTCCCGCTGTCAGCATGTAAAGCATGAATCTGTCCATTCTTTTAGAAAGTTTGGGAGCAACCCAACCATCTGTCAAGAATGACTTGATCTCTCCAGCAATTCTCTGCAATTCAAATCCCCTGTAGTCAAAACTAAAACCCATTGCTCCAAAACAATAAAAGGGGAGACTGTGATGACATACTGTTGGATACTGGGAGCAATCAAACGCCTCTATCTCAGTAATGCCACTAACACCTTCAAGCAGGTTACTGTAAAACACATCTGGATCGTGACCAATTGGTGTCTCCACACCCATACCTGTGACAACCACTCGTCTTTGCTTGGTTGGAGGTTTCTTTTTCACCGCAGCTTCCATGGAAGGTTGCACCGCTATGGACATTGCTTCACCTATAATTTAGATGGGAGCCAAGGGCATTGATAACAACCGATTAACAAGAAACCATTATAAAGCATGTCCAGAATTCCCAAAGCAAATCAAAATCCAATTTAACATATTAATACTACTTGGTCAAATCTCATGGTTCCAAAGGCAAGTTACCATGTGTCCATATCAAATTATTGTAAATTTCCCATGTCGTCAGCTAAGTATGTCACAAAAAGGTAGACTCCCATTTGTTCCAAGACTCTCTTTTGCAAACTAAAGCAGGTTGTTGTGATAAGCAAGAAAATTGGCAACTACCATTAAAGATCAACAAAGCTAACCTAACCCACCCAGAAACATAGATTGAAAAGGTCATTGCACTCCTCGCTCTCATAAACATACTCACATTACAGCGATAAGAGGGGCACAGCTTGTTTGAAGATTGTCAGTGCAATTTTTCCAAACTTACCCTCCAGTCCAACAGAACCAATTAAAAAGCGTTTCATGCATAAACAATGAACAATACATCGCTCATCCATCACCCATTCAAAAGTGACATGAGCTTTGATTTCAGTAAATGGATTGGACTATATCGAAATCTGAGGCTAAAAATCTTGCGTTCGACACCTCTTATAACAAATTAAGATACCAAAACCACAAAATTTATTTCATTGAACCGACCGTGATTCAATCTACTATTAATGTAAATGTAACAAGACCAACAGTTCAGTCACACAATCATTTACACAATAAATGATGAAACAGAGGGTAAAATTACCAGAACGGGCAGCGCGAGGGACTTTCTTCCGCCTGTGATGCAAACAAATATTCCCGGATCCGTCTCCAATTGAAATTTCAGAAGAGAAAACTCCATTAGAAGATGATTTACAAAACCGATCGCAAGGCTCGAATGCTAAGCAAGAGTTCACAAGGTTCCGAATACTGGATAATTCCGACAAAGCACATTTCACAAAAGCCCTTTTCCGGCGGCGACTCGACGATGCCGTCGTAGAGCTGTAACTGAGCATGGAAATTGAAGAGTCCTCACAAGAAATTGACATGCATGCCGCCGTTAACCATGAACAAACAAGCGATGAAGCCATTCCCAATCCCCACAACACTACTGCTCAGTGCTCAAAAAATGTATATATATGTGTGTCTATATTTTTTGTATTACTGTAGCATTGAGGAACAACAAACTGCAGAGTGGCTATGGAGACTGGAGAATCGAAATACACAAATGTGGTGAAATTAACGAGGTGGCCATTTTTGTGGGCTAATTGAATCGAAAGAATCAAATTGGTGTCGTGTCTTTGGATTTTTTGTGCGATTATGACGCCAAGTTTTTTGTTTTTATATTTGCTTAAGCAGAAAATCTGAGTCTGACTCTGAATCCACAGTAGTCTTCACCCACCTGACCCACCCAACCCCAACCCACGAGAGATCTGTATGTTTGGTCCCTCAACTTTTACTTTAGTTTCTAAATTTTTCTTGAATTTTTTTATATTCCAATATCATCCTTCATCTTTTGTACTAAGTCCTCATACCTAGCAAAGGATGGGCATTGTTAGACTTGCAACCTCAGGGTGGGGAGTTCGATTCCTGGATTGAGCAGTTGAGTGTTGTAATACTCAATTTGGGTGGAGCAGCTTGGTGATGTAATATCCATGGAGGAATGCTCCATTGGGGACAGGAGTATAAAGGGTGCACGGACCCTGGTCAACTTGGGTATATCCCGCGGTTAACCTCCACCCATCACTGAGGGGCCGGGGATGGGTGGTCCAGGACATAGTTTGATGTAAGTTGGGATACCTAAATATTAAAAAAAAAAAAATCACGTTTTCAACGATCACTGAATTTCGATTTTTTTTAAATAGTTGTTATGTTTCCTAGTCGTCGTTGTTCTTTAAAACCTGTTTGACATGACTTTCGAAAAGTTAAAAGTGAGTTTTTTATATCCAAAAGTTACATTTAGATATGTTTGACTAATTTTATAAAAGTATTTTTTTATAATTAGGAAGTCTTTTTACACGAAGATGGCTTAGTGTGACTTTATTTAGACGTTATTCTGAAAAGAAAGTTCGGTTATAAATTAACTTTCAAACACCAATAAAGGACATTTTCTCATGAATTTTTTTTTAAAGTCTAAATAAAAGTCCAGCCAAACGAACCCTTGAGGTGTGTTTGATTGCAAGCATGAAACTTGTATAAAAAGAAAATAAGTTCTAGAAAATTTAATTAAATGTGTTTGATTAGTTTAATTTACAACTTATAAAATGTTATGCCTATTTATTTTTTATTAGTGGGTAGATGAGAGAGTGGGAGTGAAATTGCCTGAAAATTAAAAAAAATATATCTCTTTAAAGTAATAGTCTCCTTATTTTTGAGAAAAAATTATAGTCACGTGATCAACTTTTGGAAAATATTTTTTAAAAAAAAAAAAAAAACAATAAAACATTATAAACATTTAAATATGAAATAACATTAAAAAGGTAAACTGGGACTCGGTACTCGTAAGTCATAATAATTAATAACGTTAGATTCAACAGAAATTTTACCTGGTTTCTATTACTTTAAGCAGATTTTGCACCTCCATATCACACATTCGTTGTTATGTGTTTGTTTAGAAGTGAGTGAGAAGAAGTCAAATTGAGATTGCATTTTGGAATAGTCGATTGCAAAGGAAGATAATAGTTATTCACGATGGTTTAACGGAAAATAGGAATCATTGCCATAGGAATAGAGAGAATTTATGGGAAGATGAAGAGAGAAAATAGACGGTCTCTCACTTCCAACATATTTTTTTAGGGCTGTTTTAGATTGTTTTGTGGCCTCTATTTTTTACGAGCCCCCTTGAAATGTGAGGCCCAAGGCAATGGCCTAGTTTGCTTTGGGCAGGGCCAGCCCTGTATGGATTGAATAAAAATAATTCTTGAATGGGGTCAAGATTGTCAGTGAATATAGAATGAATAAAGAGTACTGCGAAAATGGAGGAAAAAGGTCTTAACTTCATTGAATAACAAACTTGGCTATTATATAGCCTTACCGAGAAACTAAAATAAAATCGAAACAAGCATTAACATAGCCCACGTTTAGTAATTGCTACAACGTGGTAAGAAGACCAAATCAACAAATAACAGACATCCCAACTAGAAGGAAAATACAGACGTGGTGGTAACTGACCAATTAACCAACAAACTAAACATAAAACCAACATTTCCTCCCTTAAACTGAATGCTACAAGCTTCAGTTTACATCAGTCTCAGAACAAACTCCTAATTGTCCTCAAAGCTTGACAAAAGTATTCAGGTTGAGTGGCTTTGTCATTGTATCAGACAACTGCTCTTGTGTATCACAGTGTACTAACTCCACAGTGCCATTCTTTGTCGAGCAATAGTTTCCCCAACCTTGGTTATGAATTTGTCGAGCAAGAGCTACTACTGGTGGATATAGTCTCATGACCTCGTGCAAACTCACGGTAATCTGTGATGAAGATCTCTGCAAGTCAAACATTTTTCTAATGTTTGTTATGCTTGAACGGAAGTTTCTTACAAGTTTCAGGTGATTTAATCGATCAAAATCTGCTTTTTCACTCTCAAATACTTGCAAGACCCCTTCTCTTACCTCGCGTCTGCCATTCTGAATGTAAACTCAATAGAACCAATTTAAAGACTAGTAACACAGAAGAGGTCTCTTTTTCTGCAACATAGTAACAGCTTGCATTCGTGTGGTGTGAACTATGCTAGCTCCCATAATGGTGATGGTGCTTGACAATGAACTAGTCCCTTGCTCACCCAAGGCCGGGTTCTAGGTCAATCCTTAAACTATGCTTGTCTGACCAACGTTCTTTAAGACTGAGTCGAGCTCTTCCGGTTAGCACCATTAAACAAGGTAAAGTTTGTCATTTGAAGCTTGGCTTTTGGGTTGATCTTATGACCCTGGTGTCCCATTGACTATGGGATTCAATTCTCATTATGTAATTTCTTTATAATCAAAGCCTTCTTAGCAGTTGCGATGATTCCTATATTTAGTTCTTGATGGGCTACCAGGCTTTCTTGTCATAATCTCTGTCTCTTTAAGGTCAACAAAACACAACTTACAGGAGCTGAGAGGCAGGAAACATAAAATGACAAGTGTTCATGCATGATGATTGTACGAACTTTTGAAAAAACAATTATACTGTGAATTAATATTGTTGGGCCAACTAAAAAACTTAATATTCTTATACTTGAAAATAACGTGAGACATAAAGAAGCGTGATAAAAATAAGAACAAATATGATTAAAGGAGCAAGTTAGGCCATAATCAGATGATTAAATACATATGCAAGAACCATACAAGGGAATCGAAATCCAGATGCCTAAACCCTATGGTTTTAGTTTGTGGAGAATTAACTGTGCACCGTACTGAGGTTGAAGCGTTATGACTAAGTGTGGAGCATGCGCATAGGATGGAGAAAGCTCGAAAGAATATTTCTGTAAGATCATTGTTAGTGCCATCTTTGCTTCTAACATGGCGAAACTCTGTCCAATGCAGATGCGAGGTCCCCATCCAAAAGGAAAGTACGAGAGCTGGCCATTGGTTGCCTTCGAAACTCCTTCACTAAACCTCTCTGGCTTGAACTCTGTTGCATCATCGCCCCATATTTTTCTGTCATGGTGCAGTAGAAGTACTGGCATTATGAGTTGCACTCCAGCTGGTAGGAGATGATTTCCTGTTGTGGTTTCCTTATAAATCATTCGAGTTAGATGGGTTCCAGGCGGGTATAGTCTTAGAACCTCTTGACAAATCATTGTTACCTGTAAAAACATTATACAGGGGGGATAAGAAACAATAAATTTATTAGAAGTTTAATATGTTCTAGAGCTTTCAAGTTTAGGCCACCTTTGTGTCATAGACCCCTACTCGTTTATCGATTTAGATAAGGTATTTGTCATAAACTCTACCGGTTTATCCAAGTTCACCTATAAAGTGCAAATTAAAATGTAAAAAATGGAAACACGTACAATTTTAAGGTGATTTAACTCATCAAAATTGGGTTTTTCACTTCCGAAAACTTGCAAGACCTCCTCCCGTGCACGGGTTTGCCAATCCAAGTGCTTACTCAATAAAATCAACGTCCACACAAGCAAGGATGACGTTGTCTCCTGCCCTGCAAAGTAGAAAAGCTTGCATTCTTCAATAACCTCCTTTAAACTCATTCCATACTTGCTCCCATGTCGTTGAATTTCTGAGAAATTCGATTCTAACAATATGCCCAATAAGTCATCACTACTAGCTTCCCGCGCCTCCATTGCCTTGATTCTTTTATGAATTATGCTCATTATAGATGATTCCACTTCCTTAGCGATTTTCCTCATCCTTTTATTTATTTTTGTAGGAAAAAATCTATGCAGAAAATTCATATTAGTTGTCAAAAACATCTTACATTGTAATTTACCATTAATACGAAAGGAAGGAAGAAAACAGAGTAATCAAACCTCCATCCAGGGACAAAAACTGAATTTCGTCCTTGCATGACAAGCTCGGCCTGTTCTGTTTGAAGTTCAAATATCTTTCTTCCTTCTTCGTAGTTACTGCCAAATGCCGTACGTGAAATTGCATCGCTTGTCAAAGTTTGAAGATAAGGCCACACATCCACTTCACTTGATCCTTCACTAGATACAATCTTTTCCCATTTGCTTAACATGTCACCACAACTCAAGTAAAACGCCGGAAGCATATGCTATAGGGAACAACATAGATGTGCATATCCCATTAGTATCATGTCAAATAAGAATACAGCATTAATACTCACACCCACATGATCATGTTTAATTCTCTGGGAAAGAACGCAAATTCGAGCTGTCTAAACCAGTTTCTCAAGGTATCAAGTTCTTCTCTGATCTGACAGTGGTAGAAGCTTTTTGTACTAGAAATTCACTTGTCTATTTATCATATATATGAAGCAACTAAAAGCATTTTAAGGATGAGAAGGCGACTTCTGAAAAATACCTTCAACTTTTCCGTGTGAAAAGCAGGATTTATCAGTTTTCTGTGCTTGGCCCATTTGTCTGTTTCATAGGAAACTAATCCTTGTATTAGCAATTTAGCCATTGGGTGA